AACTTTGTTCAACTTAGCAGTAGTAGGCATATCCCTCATCTCATCATGATCAACCAAAGACAAATCTGCACTATCATGATCATTATCACGAATATTCACCTTACCGTCAATTTCATCATTTTCAAACTCTTTAATAACAGAAGTAGGCAATTTTGGTTCCTCCTCACAAATCCTAAAAGGTTTTATACCTTCACTTTGACTAGTAATACCTTGTTTTTAAACCAACAGATACATTACCGTTCCTTAAAACCCTTAAAGTCAAGATAAATCCACACGGCCAACAAGCTGCAGTACACATCTGGATATTCATTCATAGGTAGATCACGATGACAAATCCAAATCACTACCTACACAGCGCCAATAAACCTGGATATCTAAGAAGTAATGAAAATACTCCGACAGTTGCATTTCAAATCTCACTGACTGATTCAATGGTAATTTTCTGTTTCTGCACGATTCATACGCTATTTTGTATAGATTAGTTCGCAGTCATTCTGGTTCCTGACCGAAAAGAATAAAAAATACACCGGTGACTGATTCGTTAATACTTCCTTGCACGTTTAACTAAATACTAACGTCTGTGATTAGCCTCTTGCAGATGATATTGCTGAAAACATTGTTGTCGGTAAACTAACTAACGTTTTTAGACTTTAGTGAATTGCCTACCGTACCTACCACATGTATTGAAACCTTCAGTTGTTACGCGTATTTTCGGCAAAATTCAATTAATACTGATGCCTAGGATTATATCACGTGAATTGCGTTAACCCACGTAGAGCGAGTTTACTGACATATATCCTGTGTTAATGAATAATTGTAAGTATTCTCACTGTGTGCATATATTATTTACCATATTGATGGTGTGCGTCGATGGCACAGCGGTCAGGACTCCGACCGGCCATGCACACAGTCCGGGGTTCGACCCCTGCCGACGCACACCTGATATCAATAGTCGACCTACAAAATTTGGGCTATCGATATCACATGCTAAAAACTCCATACTTGTACTAAGAATACGGTGTGGAATCAAGATATAATGAAAAAAATGTATGTGAACCGCCGTGCCTCATGTGCACAAAATCAGAATGTATATTATTACTGTTATCCATTAAAACGACTAACAGTTTGGGCCTATTTACTCCGCAGACTTCAAATTCTAGGGCCAAGCTATTACTTGCCTTGCGTTTTACAGCTTTTGTTGCCTAAAAATCTAGACGGCTGTTACATAAACGTTTACTCCGCAAACACTGTTCACTTATTTGCGACAGTATTTCACCTTAAAACTTTGGGGCTTTCCTAACATATTGAACTTAAGGATTCTAATGGTTAGTACGAAAGTGCTGTTCTTCTCATTTTGCTTACCCCCATGACATTATACTCATAATCTTGATTAGAATTCTTCAAAATATTGCAAGCTTTCCTGAAGCAACCTTTCCGTTTTCATTCTATGATCTGCATGGGAGGTATAGTCCTTCTCACACGAAGATTGACTTCAGTTACTTTCTTCAACCTAAGATGAAATGCAGTGCAATGTAGAAGTATATGGTCTCTCCATGAAATAAGTGTTCAAAAATTGTTACTAAGTAGTTTATCGCAAGCTTGAAATCTGTCATATCGTTCTGCACTTCCGTCAGTTATTTATCAGAATGGCTTTGTTTGAACTAGGCAAAACTGTCACACATATTATGGCTAAAGTTTGTCTTTCAACAGTTCCATCTGAACAAATGGCTCTTTCAAAGTAATCTATAGAGTCAAGAATGACCTACTGAAGGCAATACGCTTTGATCTCCTTTGTATTACTGAAGCCTTAATCACTTAACTGGAAAAACCAGAATTATGTATACATTGGCAGGCCACAGCACTAAAGTAGCTTAAAAGTTACTTGTTGGTCAACGCTGTTGAAGGCCTTTTGGAAGTTGATGAATTTGGGTTAGAGAGATGTTTCACTGACATTCTATGCTTTGTTCGATGGCAATGCGGGAGTTGCAATTCGATGAGCACAAGACTTGTTTTCCGGGAATTTAGTCTAACCGGATCAGTCTTCTGCATCCGGTGCATCTTTTGTTCTCCTCAGGATGACTCGGCTTAGTATATGACTTGGCGTGGACAATCGCATAATTCCATGCCAATTCTTGAAGAGATATCAGTTTGTTTGTTGATGGTCAAAAATAGAATCCACTTACACAAAATATAGGAAACCATTAACCAATACCATAATAACTTCGAACACTGTAAAAATTTATGACAGCTTTCCACATCAGCACAGTTAATTAATTCGTCCAAAACTATTATCTTGATGAGAGCTATCTGCAAGCCAAAACTGGTAAGAAGAGAAAACAAGAACAAATCCTAACTTTCAGGAACTCAACCACTCACAGCAAACTTAGCGTGGGGATGTGGGATACGATTAGCAAATATATCAAAGGACTATGTAAGAAACGGCGACACAGAGATGACAGAATAAATTTCAACAGGAAAATAACCAATCAGAAGATGTTGTAGTGAATCATTTTATTACTCATCTTTGTAGTATACTTTCACTATGTATTTGTACCTTGATCTGTTTAACACCCTAAAGATTGCGTGTTAACAATTGATACTTCTGTACTCGGTCAACTTTTGAATTTTGATTACTGCAACAATACACGTTTGTACACCTTCTCAAGTGCCCTTTGATTTATGTTGTGGACGTCGAGTAAACACAACGTTAGGACACAATAATAAACGAGAAGAAGTACTGGGATATACGTGTACGCTAGTTTTGATCAAAATGACCACCACAACAACGTTACCTCTGTGCTAACAGTAGCGAATAATAATGTACATGAAAATCTATAAATATCTGTTGATTTACTCAATAAACTGCATGTTGCCTGACCCTTGTCTTCTTTCTTTACACTATCATCAGACCTCCATTAATCTGAATTAGGCGTTGAAGTTTATTGCGCTAATTACAAGAAACATGATTCAGATTTTCAATACCAGTGTCAAGTCAGTGCTTCTATGTGGTTTACGGACTTATGCCTCCACGGAAAGCATTTGCAAAAGACCACTGAATACTTTCATCAAGAAATGCATGACCAGAATGAATTGCCACTGAGAAATACTGACAACCAAGACCTTCGAACTAGCAGACAAGTAGAATGAATTGGAGATCGATTGTATACAAACTAAGGAGACTGTTAGGTGACATCACGGGCCAAGGCTTCAAATGGAACGTAAATGGGAAATGGTGGGTAAAGCGACTGATTAACTAGAACTTTGCATTGATGTGCAGCAGTTCAAATCGCCACACTTCACTTAGCAGACAAAGAAACAGAAGAAAGTAAAAGAAATACAAAATAGAGACAGTAAACAGAGATATGCAGCAAAAATAATAGTAGTATCGAAGAATAAAATAGTTTCATGGGGTATTATAAGTCACAAGGAGTGGATGCATCTGCGTCAGCCATTGACAACGAAGATTTCGTGCCATACCACTGACTGTCTCCAACCACTGGTGTTTTACCGTCCTGAGAACCCCAACCGGTCAGGAAGTCTACACCTTCCTAAGTAGTCGGCTTAAACTAATTGTTGTGGATTTCATTGATTAATGAAGTCATGATTCGGTTTGACCGCCACTGGTCTTTTCCAACCTGTGGCAGCTAATATCACCCGTCGGAGAAGGCGATGGGGAGTAAAGCTAGGGTCCTATGGTGACTTGGAGGACATCGTATTGCTAGGACATAGGAGCTTATGGGCAAATCTAGAGCCAGCTAAAGCGGGCTGCAGAGAACAGGAGCGAATGGAGACGTGCTTTTGAAGCCTTATGTTCTCGTCGGAACCTTTGTGAAAAGTGATGGTACAATCAGAAGTAAGTGCAGATACAGCAAAGGAAAAACTCGTAAGTGAATCTATCCACTCTAAGGGTTCCCCTTTCCTCGGAGTATCTCAGGATAGAAATCCAACTCAACTCTTCGAAACCAGAGTAGAGAATTAGCTATCACACTACAGATGTAGAGATATTTATGGAATATAATTAAGTCTAACAATAATTTATAACATGAAGATACGTAATCATATGGTTTTATTCATAAACATCTTATAATTTTAAGTCTCCAAATGGAGCCTGATCGAGTCATGTCTTCAAACAGCTTGTAAAAATCTATTTCTATAAGATGGCTCATGAAGTCATACACGGGCATTACATTAAATCAAAATCTCTTCATTCAAATATTAGTTAATCCAACGTTTGACAAAGAAAATACAGCGACAGAAAAAACTGGGGTAAACAACAAAAAAAACAATCCCCAAATATTATCACCTGAAAACAATTTTTGACGTTTTTCAGCAGTTTATGGCATAAGCAAAGGAGAATATTTGTAGATGTTGTCACAAAGACAACAGTCATTGAAGTCCAAAATTTAACTGTTTAAAAATATGCTACTCATAAGTAGTCACATTATTATAAAAGAAAAAAACATATCCTCTCGTGTACATTCAGCCACCACCTCCAAACTCGAATAAGGACAACAGAAATAAAGAGAAGAGGGACAGAGACAAACATAAAAAATTATTGAATATCACATTAATGTTTGTCATTAAATTTCTTATTAAAAGGAGAGTTGGTGTTTAAAATAAATAAGAAACAGGAGAAAATGATCATTAGTGATTATTCTGTGATGAATACAATACCATAGGAGTATCACTCATCCCACTGTCATTATCATCGTCAGTATATATGTGTGCGTGTTCGTTTGTCTGCATAGCTCGTAGTTTAAATATTGCTACAAAGTTTAAATACAAAAATTTGATGTAAATTAATCGAGTAAAACAAGTGCTGATCAAAAGTGAAGGATTGTGTGTTCAATGTTTATATATAGTTAAATGCAAACAAATAAGATTTACGCTACTCAGGTAAAACGGAAATAAAATATGTATATATTTGAAAAAAACTTGTTTATAATAATGGAATAAATGCTAAGATTTCAATACACGTATATATATATATATTTGTTAGTTTATACTCTTTTAAGAAATAAGCATAATAATATTGAGGAAACTGTTAAGATTGGAGAGTGGCTACAGCCCAGGATTGATGAACACTTTGGATAACAGAATAGGGCAGCAGAGACAACAGCATTTGGTCGGTAGAAGGTTGTAAACCATTCTGATTTTTCAAAACGATTTCTTGTAGCAACTTCAATCTGAAAAGAAAAAAAAAGGTGGCGGGGGGAGGTTCAAATAATGTGACTCAATAAATAACTGAGAGAAACTCTATATTTGGTTGTAATAGTAGGATATTGTCCGGAAGTGACAATGAACACTTAAACCTGCATGTTTGTCAATAGGAGAATGCAGAACAGTTAACGGATCAATTCTGGTCACGCAGGATTAGCAGATTAATGTATACAACAGAGTACTGTGGAGAGTGCTACTGATAAGCTTTATGAGTAGTATGTACGGAGATGTTCATAGGCATGAAAACATCAAATAACAGAGAGATACATTTGATTGTATGGAGGATTTCATCATGAGGTGACATCAGTTAGAGAACCACTGGAAAACCACCTGGGAGTACTGCACAGCTGTTTCGTCCTAGTTCGGGACTCTTCATCAGTATGCCCACTAGCGACTGGCCCTATTCAGGAAGTTAATCTGGAGTTCCAGTGGGAAGCCATAACCAGTAGGGTACTGCAGGTCGAAGATGAGGCAGTAAATCATCGAAGAAGACATTGAGAAATGGTCGCGCTGAGTCGTGAATTGGCAGAAGCTAGAATTCAAGAACAATTGGATAGGGTCCCAGTGGCTGGTGAATGATCTACGAGCTCGCCTGGCTTGTAACCAGAAGATCCTGGTTTTGAACCCTGTCTTGTGGGTGCGTACTGATGAAGAGTCCAAAACTAGGACGAAACAGCTGTCCAGTACTCCTAGGCAGTCTAGTGGTTCTCTAAATGATATCAGCTCATGATGAAATCCTCCATACAATCAAACGAAATCCCTACAAAGCCAATGGTTGAAGATACATTTAAATTCGGAGAAGACAAATCATACAGCGTTGTGTAGATACACATGAAAGGTGAAAGGAACACACAAAAAAACATAATTTGAATTCCAGAAGTACCACAACACGAAGAACTGTGTGAATGGTGCCTTGAAGATAAGGTGTACATAATTTAGCTATATAGAGATACAGATATTCAAATAAGCGTTCCTTAACCAAGTCTTTGTCTTCTCCTGTTATTATTGGTGTCACTACCTCCATATGATGAAGATTCCATACCAGTTGCTTTCGAGGAAGGAGACATTCGAAGCTTCTTGTGGGATTTTGAAGCCATCACTGAGTTGGTTGGCGTAAGGGTTTCAAAGGCGGACGTGCTAGGGACGCTGCTGAGAGGTCGAGCAAAGGCGGCGTACGACAATATATGGCGGTCAAGTGGGGCGGAGAGCTGGAAGCTGTTGGTTAAACGACTGGTGGCGGAGTTCGACATCCTTATGGACAGGTGGCTAGTGAAGTTGGGCCCGGACGGAAACCTGCTAGTGTTGGCAGTAAAGCCTAGGAATCTACTACGTCATGCACTCCCCACGTTGGATGAAGAATCGGAGTCCTATTTATTGGCATCTTACTTCATCGAGAGTGTTCCACACTACATTTCTCAGCAACTACAATCAGGCAAGTATCGGTGTTCTATTATTTCATTTGCACGTTTCTGGTGTTGTAACGATTCATAAAAATTCAGTAAGTGATTTGTTTCTTCACTTAACAATATTACCTTTGAATGTTTTTATCTAACTACAGTGTATTCTTTGGCTACATGCAAGTGCATGCATTGAAACGGCCAAGGATTTTCGACTTAGATTCATTAACATAGCAGAGCTAATGATTTCCGCTATAGTTAAATTTCTATGTTCAGATAATTTAATTCATCCCGATGTACTAGTGTGACCGGTGTAATCGACCTCATAGACAATACTATGGTATTTAATGAATTAAATTGTTTCACTTAAATAAATTTCGCCTCTGAATAAGTTGGTTGGTTGGTTTAAATAACGTTATTTCCTCATATAGTAGTACTGGTGTGGTGAGAGCTGGCTGTTAGCCAAATTGGTAGACAGTCATTTACGTCAATGTTTACGCCCCCAATATTGTTCGTGAGAAAAATAAGAACAAAGACTGATTCAACAACCAATCTCAGAAGACTCTGCGTAGGCGGATACAATTTGCAGATAGATGATCTGACATTCAAGAAACAGAGAGATAAAAGATTAACTTTTAGTGAGAAACAACCAATCAGAAGACTGTGTTTTTCTGTTAACAATAATCTATAATAATGTACATGAAAAGCTATAAATATCTGTTGATTTCCTTAATAAACGATCTGTTTCCTGGCCATTGTCTTCTGTGGTTACACTAGTAATAAAAGGATTAACAAACTACTGGTAGTGATATGCATGAATTTGCTTCTCTCTGAGGCACAATTTAGTCATTTATTGATTTTTGTGAGTATGAAGAAATGAATGATGAAATTCAGGCAATAAGGGCAAACTATCCTAAATCCCACTGCTGTTATCCTTTCACAATTAAGACTAGTAATAATGGCAAAGAATTATTAGAAACGCTACACTTCTTTTTCTTTTCATGTGTACTCCTCTTATCTCGAGTCTACGTTAAGAGCAATAGATTCATGGCGACCATAAATTTAGAAAGCATAAAAGTAGTCAGCAAAATTTCAACCTCCATTGCAAATGCTAATAAATAAACGTGCTTAGCACAGGAATCGAGGGTATGCACTTCGTCCTAATGTGAGACTCATCAACCCAAAGACTAATGAAACGCATAATAAAGTAGAGAAAGCCTGGGAAATTAATATATTTAGAACAAGGTTAAGTCACATACTTAAATTCATTGAAGCCTTAACCATAAAAAGACTTAAACCTGTCTTAGGCGTCCAAAAGTTATTTGTTATCACTTTAAACCTGCCTTGGTAATCCAATTTAGAACCAAGGACCAATTCACTTCATCATATTTTCAAACCCCTTCTTTGCTTTGTTTTTTCCTCTCTTTATCTTTCTTACCCACACCTTTTGCGTCTCCCTACCCATTATTTGTGACCTTGACCTGTACACAATCTGACCTGTATTGTAATTATTGATGCCTTCTTACCTTCTATAAAAAATTGTGTATGACAAGTACGTGTGTGATCAGAATGTCCGAAATGTGTTGCGCCGATACATTACACGTTTCAGATAAACTACGTTTTCTTATTGTGTTGTCGAAATTCACAAAGGGAACTAATTGCTTTAAATTTTGGAAGTAAACATTGACGTAAATTGCTGTCTGCCAATTTTGGCTAACAGACAGCTCTCACCACAATCTCCACCTTCTAAAATTGTGTACTATTGCAAATCACAAATTCGATTTAATGCACTTAAGTAGGTGGCCAGAATCATGGAGGTTTGAGCTGATTCACTCCTCTGACCTGAGTAAAATTCGGTACGCCGTCGAAGACTTCAACTCCAAACAGAGGAGATAGGTCGTCCAGTGTTTTGATTACTTCGGCCTGGCTTGCAGTAATGGTCAACAGAAGACTGATAACGTCACTAGCCAGAGCCTATCCTGCAGCTAAGCTCGTTCTCGTCCATCAAACAACATGCTCTTTGGTGCAGTCAAAAGTCGACAGATACCCTTCTCATGTTAACTTCAACTGTGTATGCAAATTTACGTGTATCCGCGGGAGCAGTTACATTGGAAGAACAGAAAGAAGGGCACACGTCCGATTTTCTGAACATGTGCCGAAAAGCCTACGTCTCAAAGGAACAAATTCTTATAGTAGTGTTATTACCAAACATCTCCTCGACACGGGTCACGAGGTAAAAATCAAGAAATCCTTTAAAATTATCAATAGACAAAGGAGCTCAATTCTCCTCAAGTTTGCCGAAGCAATTTTCACCAGACTCTTGAGCCAAACCAGACTTATTTCTTCAGAAAGAAGCAGTTATTAGTCTTTCTTTGCCCTGGTAACTGGATGTCTTTATTTTCTCATCTGATTACGTAATCGTTGTCTTTAACCTCACTCTCCTTTTATAATCTGTAATTTTGCTTGTCTCTTGTTTCTATGATTTGAGTTGAACTCAGTACATTGTTACCTAACTTATTAGTCACTCTGCATCCTAAGCAACTCTCGTCTTTATTACGTTACTCCTTTACCATTATATGCATACATATGCGTCGGTGGCACAGTGGTTAGGACTCTCGCCCACCATGCACATGGTCCGGAGTTCGAGCCCACGCCGACGCACACCTGATATCTATGGTCGGCCTGCAAAATTTGGGCTACCGATATCCACGCTGAAAATTCCATACTTGAACCAAAAATACAGTGTGGAATCAAGCTGTAATCAAAAAAAAAAAAAAAATTTATTATTTTGTTTAAACTTGAATTGCCTGTGTAAAAACTATATAAGCGCAATTTTCTGAGCACTGTTCACTAATTACGGAACCTTCTGTCAACTAACATTATGAAGAAAAAAGTTTGCAAGTGTGTTAAAACTTTTCTGTAAAGTAAACCTCATAATCTATTTAGGCTGTAAGCAGCAGTTGAGCTGCATGAGAAGCCGACGAAATCAGCAATGATAGCACTATATTATATAGCACCACAAATCACTGTTGTTCTTGCTTTATTCAAGCACTATATGTTGGTGTGAATGATATCCGAATACTGATGACGTTTTTAAATACACACATACCCACATAAATAAGTAATCATATTTCGACAAGAACTGTTCATAAAAACGGCGAAGTTAAACTTTCGACACCACTAACTACCAATCAGCGAATCATCCAATGGGATTCACGAACGATGTCGAATTATCAAATGAGATTCACGAACGCAGTTCAATGCTGTAGAGCGCTTGATTCTTTTCTACGGTTGCAATTCGAGGAGTACAGTGTTTTCCACTATTTCCTGGATTTAGGGTTGCTCCGGAAGGAGCAAACTTGTTCGTCTGTTGCCATCATGACTTTAAAAAGCTATAGCAGATCAACTGATGGGTTTGTTCATCGTTGTGCTATGTGTTTGAAGCGTGCTAACATTAGAGCGGATAAGCTGATAATTTTAACATTTCGTAGGAACTTTTTTCCCTAGGTCGCATCTCTCCCTAACCCAGAGTTTGTACATCTGCAACTACTGGGTGTTGAAACAGCCGGTGAGAGCAGCAGCTGCCGAGACTGAGAATAGTCTCGTCCCAACAGTTTAGTGGTACCAGCATTGCAGAGATATTGCTTCGTGTAAAATAGGGAAAATCACTTGTTTGCTGGGTGGATCCCGTTACGAGGACTCATGCGAATTCCATTGAAGGTTTTTGGGGCCGCTTGAAAAACAGGATAAGGGCTATAAATGGATCTCAAAAGGATCTCATTTACCGGCATTCAGATGAATATAAGTACACGATGTGGTGTGACTTCTCCACTGACAGTTTTATGCTAAACTGGGAGATGTTTCTCTCACATGTTCGAGAAAGATTCCCCTTGTAACCTTTTTATCCTTTTTTATGCTTTCTTCTATAAATATACATTTTCATTCATCATATATGCCTATTTAATATGATTGGTCCGTTCAAGGTCGTTTGCTGATTGGTTGTTAGTGGTGTCGAAAGTTTAACTTTGCCATCAAAACAACATAGAGAAAAAAAAGGTTCATTGTAACTTACTTCATAAGTGACTTGAGTATCAGGTACTGGTATTTCACATGGGATTGGATTATCACCAGCCCATTTAATCCCGGTGTACTCATCTGCCTCCTCTTCAGTACCGATAGTCTCACTTTTGACACGATAAGAATTCTCATTCTCTCCTGTTGTTGTTGATGATGATGAGGAGGAGGAGGACGCCAAATTCTTGCATACTTCCACGTCAGACCATTCTCCATATCCGACTAGTTGTGTTGGATCGTAGGTGTTATTCGACTTAGCATAACGATATCTGACGAGTAGATCAGATAGTTCTGGTCTTGCCCCACCTTCATATGGGCATGGATCACCCAAAAATGTTGAAAATCGAAGATATTGAGATGTAGGACTTAGAAAGACAACATTCTGTTGGATTCAGAAAGAAGACACAAATAATTTCCACATAGGGACTAGATAATACAGTAATAATAATGATAATAAATTGTGAAACCAAGATGAAAATGTGCAACTACGGGACAGCGTACAGTTAGCATTACAAATAAAATATTGGGAGGTATCATAGTGTGGTGAGAGCAGGCTGCTAGCCGATTGGTTGACACTAATCTACGTTAATGTCTAGGTCACTAATATGGGCCGTGAGAAAATATGAACAAGGCTGATTCAACAACCAATCACAGCAAAGTTAACGTGGCAAAATATGATTCGCAGATAGAGAACTCTATTTGTCAAGGAATCCCGAAACAACCAATCAGAAGCCTGCGTTTGTCTGCAACCAATCAGATGACTGCGCTTTTTCTACTTGCATAAGCTATAATAATGTATGTGAAATATGTATAAATACGTATTGATTTTCATAATAAAATGATCTGTTACCTGGCCCTTGTCTTCTGTTGTTACAATAGAAGCTTGATAATGAGACAAAGATTGGACGCTGCTTTGGCTAAAAAGACTTTTTCTGCACCTAGTATTATAATAATAATTGAGAATGTGAAGGCGATATATCCATCCATGTAAGCCCTTTGAACATGCGAAAAATGATATCACATCACACTGTATTTACCGATTTGAATGTACGCGTGGACACACATATATAAGGAGTACTTACTCATCGACCTCTGCAAGTAAGGGCTAGTTTCAGAGCATATTTCTAAATGGCTACAGAAGCAAGTAGAATCTTCAGAACCCAAGAATGGTGAGAACAGGAGACCATGTTCCTCTTTACGAAATGTACTATGGAGACAGGACACAAAATCGATGTTTACACGTCTTTTCAACGTATCTATCCCAAAGTACGTGGAAGCTGTAAATGGCATTTAAGAAGTTTAAACCACCTTTATGCATTCAAAGCAACAATTCATCATCACACTAAACTTTCCTTGGTAAACTTTCTTTTGATACCAGCCAGGGTAGATGTACTATTACCTTTGTTATTTTGTTTAGCTATCTTCATTGTTATTTTCACCCTCAATATATCCTTTTAACTTAACCTAAGTAGTCTATTTTCTCACCTCTTAACTCTTTATTAATTTCATATGTATACAATCCTAAGGCAAATCCGTGGAGTGTGATGAGATTGTTCGAAATATGTTGCGCAAATGCATTACACGATTCAGACAAATTACGTCATCCTTCTTATTGCTTTGTCTAAATTCATAAAGGGAACTAATTGTTTTAAAAGTAATATTTGTAGTTATCTGGTGTCACCGGGAGGGATAACTGTTTTAGATTGGGGGGGGGGTGAAGGTCAAAGGAGGGAGAGAGATTGAATGAACTTTTTCTAAACACAGACATTAGGTTGAAACATTCTTTAATGGCAATTGCCTCATCTATACTCAGCAAACGAAGATGTACCAACCTTGGAAGTTGAGGTGGCACCTTGTAAGGAACTGTAAAAACTGAATTTTTGTCAATGTCTTGTGCTGCGTATCCCCACTAGGTGTATCAACCGACATGGAAACTCTAATTGAGTTTACGATTCCTTTACCTAACTAACCACGTCGGACAATACATCATAAGGTGAGAATGGCCTTGCCGAATCGTTCTATCCATGTAACTGTCTGTATCCACATGAACAGTTAAATTTACGGATATACTTTGAAGTGACCAGACTTGGTAGTTTATCCTTCCCCTGCGTTGGGATTGCTAAAAGAGTGGAGAATTTTAAAGACAATTTTGGGTCAAAGAAGGTTTCAGTTATTATTCTTCGGAGTTTCAATATCAGGGATTCAGTAGCTGCGTCTCCCCTTTAAGCGGTAAAGTCATGTACATGCGTTTCTTCTGCACAATTTGCAGGCATTTCTTTCTATCTGTTCTCCTCATGAAGACTTTGCCAAATGTTTCGGGGTATCCGTTCTCGTATAAAAAGTTTTGATATTTTCCTTATTTCAGTGTCTAGACTGTTGGTTGTGCAGATTTTTTCCAGCACAGTACATCAGGGTACGGATAGAATTTCGTTTGTATGGATGAGAAACAAACGATTTGATATGGGTGTAATGACCGACCCATAACTTCTTCCGGAAAATGTCCCGGTTAGTAAAAATACTTTTTTTTAAACAACCTTGACATACACAATGACATTATCTAATGCGCGAACTCCAAAATGAATTAATTCATTTTTAATTTGAACTTAATTTTCAGATTTTCAGGTTTCGCATGTTCCAGTCTATAAGTCACACTTATTGTGTGAGGATTGAATTAAATGGAGCAAGATTCGTGAGCCCAGGACGCTGTTAGCTGAAAATCGAATGTTTAAACAAATGAATGAACTGCTTCTCCGGTTGGGGTTCAAGTGGCAAGAAGCTTTGGATCTTGGTTTCATGCTTTTTAGCACTTATCAACAATCTTGAAGGAACTCATTTCTCTTCCGAGATCCAAAACCCTAGTCAGCAGTTAGTGTTGTGGTCAGATACGTTTCCATTCAGCTATTCGGGCTATTTTGGACTGCCAGGTAGCTGTTTCGTCCTAGTTTGCCGCTGTCCAGTAGTCTGTACCTACTGCAGTTTGAACCTAGAAGCTTCCGGTCACCAGGCCAACTCGTAAACCATTCAACCAAGAGGGGATCGAAGGAGTCATCCACTAGGAGTAATAATAAAGATTGACATATTGTTGGTATTAGATGGTTAGAGGCAATCGGCTACAGGAAGCCGCCTTACTCGACCTTGGGTTTCGTGCTAGTTGGCACTAACCAGTCAGTAAGGCGTATCTTCAATATTGAAGGAACTGATTTCCCTCCTGAGATTCGAACCCACGTTACTGATTGATAGAGTTCAGTCTACGCCAAAAATAGGACTAGAAACAACATTACACTATTTACTGACTAGTATCCCCGTTCAAAAACACTGACATATGAAAAGAAAACAAGTAGTTCAGTGAAGAATCTCTTTTCGGAGAATACATTCCTCTTAGATGTATAGTCGCAAATATACGTAGGTTCGTTTGTATGTATGTGTACACTAAGTTTGTCAAAGAAAAATAAAATTGGTTATGGATATTTGAACTAAAGGAAGCGGGGTGTGGGAGAATTAGTAAAGTAATGGACAGCAATGACCCCAATCCACTACTGCACAAGTCTAACTGTTGCCATTCAGCAATGAAATTTACTCTTGAAATGGAAAACGAGTCAAAACCTCCGTTCCTTGATGTGAAACTAGTGAGAATTAACTGACGGGACCCTAAGAAGATTGATGCTTAGGAAAGCTACTTGAAATGATCAACTAACAAGCTTCTATAGCAACGTAAAGATTGAAAAAAAGTGGAATTTAATTAAATTCCTTCCCATTTGCATCTGACGCATCTGTAGTCCCGATGTTCTAGAAACAGAAATCAGATCTGTTGAGAGGAATCTTCATCCAAAATAGATAGATAGATAGATTCATTGATAAAAGTTCCAAAGCAAGAATTTGGAGAAATGAAGCTTCACTTGCGCCTAAAAATAAACTCTACATGAACTTGGATTTCAAAGGAGATTTAGCAGGCGATATTCTCAAGAGAAGGATCACATCATCTCTGAGAAGAATATTCTTTGCAGAAAAGCTAAAAATAGTGTTCTTCACCGCCCACTGATTTGCGGAAACCTTGAGGATAAGATTGCGCATGTGACCACTAGTATGTGCATATATCAGTTCACCTGCTGCTGTGGAGCCAAGTGCATTGGTCGTTTGACGCGCATCCTGTCCAAGCGGATCCAAGAACACTATCCAGCATTGGTTGCGAAAAAGTAATAGTGGTGTTATAAGGAGTTCAATAATTGAACACCAGATTAACATTGATCATTCCATCTCAGCAAACGACTCCTTCTAAGTAATCTACAGAGTCAAGAATAACCTATCAAAGGCAATACAGTTTCGTCTTGTTTGTATTGCTGAAGCTCTGGCCATTCACATAGAAAAACTGTAGCTTTGCATACAAGAGAGAATTACTCAACCACTTCTACTATCATGGAAACAACTCTCTTGATTTTTGATGATTAATTTTGTTTGTTTGCCTGTTTCTTTAATTGTTTATAATTCCTGTATTTATTTTAGCTCGAATGATCCCTGTAGCATAGATGGCACGGAAATTGAAACCAAGTCAAGCATTAAATACCTTGGATTAGTTCTTTCTTCTGACCTTTCATGGTCATCACACATCTTATCTATCTCTAAGAAAATGTTTCGTCTTACCTTCTACACTAAAAAGTTAAGACAATCAGGTATCAACCAACCTTTAGTTTTGCAATTTTTAAACTCCTATATTTTACCTATTGTACTCTATTGCTTTCCATTAATCTTTCCTTGGCTTCTCAAAAAAGACTGTATCATATTACGAAGAGTATTAAATGCTGTGAGTAGAGCTTGTGGTCTGCCGCTGCATGAGCTCGCTAACACTATAATCGACAGGCATATAAATTCCTGTACAAAATGGGCAAAGGCTATACTGCACCCCCTTTATTCACACCTATCCCCCTGTATCTCATCAGGTAGGACGACAAGTCAATATAAAAGGTTATATGCTCGTACCACTAAGTACAGAAATTCTACAATACCCTTTTTAGCCCGTACTTTATGTGATGAAGACTCTGTTAGACGTGAAACACATAAGTTACTATGTAATTAGCACAGTGAATCGACCCTTTCATAGTTCATCTTTCTGTATTTTATGGTGTCACACTTTCTATCGTTTAATTGTTACTCTGCTATTTTATTTTAGTTGGTATTACTATTATTACTACAATTTTGTACTTTATACATATTTTTCACCGTATTGCATACAGTATTTTGCTATGTAACTGCTGTAACGATCGTTTTATTATTATTATGTAATGTGTATTTATAACTTTTTTTGTCGCTTTTGAGTAAATTAGATGCAATATTGTACTGAATGCTGAAAATTCCTTGCTGTATCATTAGTACTGTTTTTAGAATAAA